GGTCATTGTGTAGCCTCCAAATATATATATATATATATATATACTGGCTCATTAACATTGTATAGAATTGTACCGCAGGGTGGACGTCGGTTTCGACCAAATCCGATCTGTTGTGGAGCAACGCCATGTGCAACGCATCGGCATAATATCGCCCCAACAGCAACGTTGCAATCCCTATCAAAATATATCCATCAAATAAATATATATATATATATATTTTTTCGTTAGAGAGTAAGAGTGAAGGGGTGGTATTTTCTACCACCCCTCCACTCGTATATATATATATATATATATTCAGCCAATTTCCACACACACTCAAACCTGTGACCTACAATATATACTAACTACTTCCACTTCGTGCTTAACTTTGTATATACAAAATGTACATACATAGCAATAACACATTTCTATTCTCATCACAATATACTAAAATCACAACTTGAATCATCATTCAGTACCTTCGTCCACATCTTGGCAGTACTCAATGTAGATGCGCGCCGCGTCCTTGAGTTCGTTCCGGTTGACCAATTCCTCAGCAAGTGCGTAAGCAACGGATGCCATATTGAACGAGGGCACTTGTGGCACAAGTGCCAGCGCCATGTGCCACTCCTGAGCTCGCTTGAACGCTTCGATGGCGTCTTCAAAGGCACGGATGGACAGAAACGTATACCCCGCCTGGGTGTATTTGGCTTGCGCTGTCAGATGGCGGCCATAGGCCGAGACTATCGGCGTACGCAACAACGAAGCCGACGGAAACAGCGTGAGGCCGACGTCGTACAAGTGGTGGCTTTTCACGAGCTCGACGCACTCGGAGTGGTACGAAGGGCCGGCGGCATGTAGGTGCCGTAACGCGAGCTCGTATCTACCACATCAAAATATAGAGTAAACTTGGGGTACTAGGAATGATTAACGGCCCGTCTGGCAACCAGATATATTACAATATTCTGACCCAAAACTCTATGTTGAATTCAACAAATCTTATCAAAGTTGGAATATGTCTTGCTGGAAGAGGTTTGACCCAATAATTCCACGTGGGATTTACTCCAAAACGCCACATTACAAAATGGACCTCCATTTTGAAAATGGCGTTCATCCCATTTTGCCATAAAAATATTATTTTTGACATATTACCAGACGCACCCTAATAAGCAGACTCGGGGTATTCTTGTCAAGTCGATTTTGACCTTGGAGAGGTTGACAGGGAGCAGCAAAACCAAATCGACCGACACTCGACCAATCAAAACCCAGATCCATAACTAAAATAGATAGCCAATCAAATATATATATATATCCACTCTCTTTAATCTGAGTGACGATGTTTTACATACAAAAGATTCAGTACACAGAATCGATTGAGATAAATATTGGGCGAAAATAAAAGTTGTCCAAATTTAGAGAAATACCAACCTATGTAACGACATGTCGATAGCATATCGCAAATATGACGACGAATGGGAGGCTTCCAAGGCTTGAAACGCCGAGAGTTGAGAAGTGTACTCTTTTGGGTCGCGCTGGGTATGCTTGGCCACGAGTAGAGTCAGTGGGAGATCGTACAATCTACAACAGCAGCATCATATCGGCTTTTCGATTGAAAAAACAGGAAGAATATGGATCTCAATGCGACTGTTTCCAAATGGCCATTGCACGACCCTCGCCGCCTGTATGGTCGTTCGGACAGTGGGGGGGGGACATCTGTACGTACCCCAACGCGACATCGTACAATTGGTCCACGTCCACAAGAAACGTCAAGTGTTTCAACCCGTGTTGCGCCCCCGTGGGGTTTTGCCCGTGCAGCTAATGGATAAAAAATACAATTAATTCCCCATAAAAATATAAAAAATATTTAATCATCATTTTTGGTGCTGGTGTTGGATGATCACGAGGCGACTGGTTATATTATTGTTTATGTCGTTATATTCTAAACTGGAGAATGAATATATATACACACAACAAATCAAAGAAATGTACACAAGAATCATGGGCAGCAGGATATATTTAGCCAATCAGATTGCAGGAAACAACCATGGTCAACGTCGAATTAGTGTATGACTTGAATTAGTGTGATACGAATCACCACTGGACACCTTTTTACATACAAAATTCAGTAACAACAATGAATCGATCGATAGAGATTTGGCGATTCCTCACAAAAGTTAACCAACTTTTAGGGTAAAATGACAATACCGATTGCAATCGGAGCAACGCCGTGTCGAGCTCGAGCAATTTCGCATCACACGTGAGCAACGGCAGCAAGTAAAAGTCTGGGTCCAACTCAACCAAGGTCGACCGAATCGCTCGGCATACCTACTAGTTTGTTAAACGAGATTGCCGTTCATGTAATTTAGTTTTTAGCGTACTCGCGTAACTTTATCCCATGTTTCAGTCAGTAGGTTTAGCCCTGCCAGAGAGGGGAATTTCGTCGCGCAGACATCTGTGGGGTGGACAGTCGTAATGAAAAGACATAGCCGGTCGATGCGAACCCGCTTTGGAATTGCTTGGATCCACTGGGGCAGGTGGCTATGAAAAATAGATTCAAAGCATATTTTCACAATATAAAACATGATATATATATATATATATCGATGAATCGTCATCATGTACGAAAACAAAAATAGATTCAAAACATATTTGCACAATATAAAACATGATAAATATATATATATATATATCGACGAATCATCATCATGTGCTCGTACGACAAGAACGAGGTTGGGTCGAAGTCTACAAGGACATTCATGTCGATGCGATGCTTTCGACACAGTTCCAACGCTGACGCAAATTCGTGAGCAACGAGTTTAGATTGCAGCAACGCCAACAGCAACGGCCGCGGCGCGATGGCTTCGACATTCCCGCGCTCCATTTGCAGTACCACGGTTGTATGGGCACTGGTCACGACCGTCGCGCCTCGTTCCATCGGTCGAGTATGCTACTCCAAATCATCATGCATTAGATCACCCATATGAGATACGACCACATACGTGTCCTAATTCATATATATATATATCCTTCTACTAGTACTACGACTAAACACACACAACACATCGACAGACAGACCTGGAGAATAGACTACTACTAGTAGTACTACAGTACACTAACAAGACACAATATTGAAATAGATTCATTGGAAGCAGATTTCCATGTACGAACAACGCATCACGATATTGAGAGCAGGGGGTTTACTACTACTACTAGAACTCAACAGCGAGACAGACGTGGGATAGACATGACAACTACTAGTATTACTAAAACCTCACAATGTTGAAAGCAGCTTTACTACTATATGTACTTGTACAGTACTATGCTATAGAACACGACTCGTAGATAAACCTGGGATTCACACAACTATGTACTAGTACTACTAAAAAACGCACGACACATATCCACAGGCACACGGTATCTACTACTAGTACTACTACTAGGAAGACACGTACCTCGGGGACGAACGTGCCTTGGCGCAGGGCGTCCAACGGGTACAGTCGAAACTCCGACTTGGCGCCCAATGTCGTTAAAGCCAGGTACCCCAACGTCGGAATGACGTGGAACGACGCCACGGACGCGTGCAGGAGCGTGTTGTTGACGAACAACTTGGTTTGGGCCAATTGTACGACCACCGTCGAGCACTGCACGACCTCCCATTCCGTCCACAAAGTCTAGTTTAAACACCTGACTGACGACTTGTACAACCTCGAGACAACAAACGTACGTGGCCATTGGACAATTGTACGACCCCCTGTGGCCAGATGGCCTTGGACTGGCTCAATTGGATGTGACATCCGTCGTTGGATATCGTGGACACGACCTCGTGGTAGTCTGTTGTCTCGAGTGTCCCCGTCTCAACGTTCATCGTCACCACTTGCGATGCATAGAGCGTTGAAATACCCGCAATCTACACAATACACTATCAACACCATATCGCATATTCACCATATCGCATATTCACCATATCGCATTGTTCAATAAACATATATATATCAACCCATCACATGTTCACCGTATCGCATATACACCACTCTTGGAATGTGATCCATATTACCGTCGACGTGTCCACGACTTGGACGTAGCGCAGGGCCATGGTATCTACGCTCCGTCCATCCTTGAGAGTCAGTGGAATCGCTTGAGGCGGGGCGTGGAGTTGCTGGCTTCGACTCCAATTCCCTCGAAAGTCCTGGGCCACGATGGACCCATCCGCCAGTACGAGGACTTCGTTGATGGCATGGGCAAACTGGACGCGGGCGGCGCTCATGGGCGGCGGGACCAGCGCCCTGTCGCAGAGCGTGACGTTTACATGGCATCCGTCGATCACGGCCACGTGGCCATGTGCATTCGACGCGACTTTCCACATGACACTCAACACGTGGCAGTCCCCCGTCGAGCACAACACGCGCACCACATATGGCTAATACGTTTGAGGAAATAAGTATATATACATATACACAACATAGCGGATATACGAATACCACCCAATCGAAGAAGTCGTACACAACGGATACTGTATGCTCTTATCAAATCGAAATATACTGGAGAAAGAACTGCTCAAGCCAATCAAATCACGTTGTTTTGGTGCATTTCGGCCAATCTAAAGGGCCTGATTCCGTGAAAGCTATCCAAACCTGAGATATACTAAACATTGTATGGTATAATTTGTGCAAGCTTAATTAGGTTATTCGCTATTTGACTCAAAAGTCTCATTTTGGGTGAATATCATAGTATCGTACTTTTAGAATATGAAATGATCATACGTGTCATCAAATGAATGAACTTTCGGAGGCAAATACTGGCAGTAAATTGGCGAAAGTTCACTCGTATGAACTGACCATCATATACTTTGAGTAGCTCTTAAACCCACCAGGAACAACAATTCAAACAAAGTGTACAGAGCCCACAACGAACAGAGTACAACCTCATGATGGATAATATCGATCCAATCCACAAGTACATATGGAGCATATCACATTATTGAATCATTGCTTATATCCACAATAAAGGAATAGGCCCAGATATCAAACTTGGTATCTATATATATATATATGTACCTGTTCCAAATCCCACTGCAACGCCGATACAGGGGATTCATACTCGCGGGTGTGCTTGAGGTACCAATGGTAATTGCGTCGCGTCCACAACTGCAACGTCGACGACGGCGACGATCCTGAAGACGATGTGCTGGTCACGACTGCCAATACATCAGACGCCAGGTTCCACGATATATGGGTCACACTGGCCGATGCATCCACGGTCAAGGCCATCTCGCCATGGCGCAAGCCGTTGGTCTCGAAGAACGCAACGTGGAGCTGGTTCTTGAACACTTCGCTCGATGCAATCAGCGCATGGTTCGGACTCCAGTGTAGCCCTTGGCCTTGAAGGGCCAGCTCGGACTTGTCTTCGTGGCGACCTTGGGCATGCAACGTCCACACGGCGTTGTCCACAGCCCACACCTGCAAAACATATCGACATGTTGACATTTGGTGGCATCTAGTACTACTAGTAGTAGTAGTAGTAGCACAGGTCGTACCTGGAGCGATAGGGTTGCATGCAAAGAAAACGGACCTTGGATGGACACGAACTTGCCGTCCGCGCGCCAAGACAATTGCACGAGGCCGTCAATCGCGCAAGACGAGCATGGAGATTCATGCATGACGTTCCATGTCGTGCTGAGCGTGAGGAACTGGCCGTCGCCCGTGACCAACGCCACCTGTTCGTCCTTGGGACTCCACCGCATGCCGCGGATGCCAAAGTCGAAGTGACCGATCACATCTACATGCTGGTCTGGGCAGTGTACACTCACAAGTGCGCCACTTTGAGACGCACACACGACGATGTCGAGCTCGGCGTGGTACGCGCACCACGTCCAGTCGGGTTGCGACGGCAAGTCGACCTCAACCACGACGTCGCCGTCCACGACACCCACGAGATAGCCTGCAGAGGACAGACACCACATGCGCTCTTCCGCAGGGTCAAAGCTCATGTCCACCCATTGAGAGGCCGACGACGACGACGGAGCAGGCAGCACATGGCTACGCTCGGCAAGCACCACCAGGTTTCGCATCGTGGGCGCCGATTTTGAATTTGACTTGCGGATGGTGCCGACGTATCTGGCCCACCCGGATAAAAATATTCGACTATTTTCAAAAACTATTCACCAATTTCAACCATTTCTAAGACAGTTGAAGCGAGTGAGATTTCGAACCCCTCAAAACAAAGAAATCTATCGTGGGGTTGTCCCAAATAATATTACCACATCCATCATGTGGTCCCTAACGGCATCGTCGCGGCCATACGGCGGCGTATTCTCTACTTGTATCGCTTCATGCGGCAAAGCAATGCGCGCTTGGCCGCCCGCAGTTGGTTCTGCACCTGGCACCGCGGACACGGTCCTCCCTTCCGGTGTCGGTGCTTCGTGCCTTCCACCTTGCATTCCGTGGCTTCGATCTTGAGCTTGAGCTCTCGGAGGTCCTGCGGCATGTTGCCAAAGTCGGGGAGCGGCAGGCACTCCTGCTTCGGTCGCACGATGCGGCTCATGCTGGCCGTGATGGAGTTCCCAAGGTCCAAAATGTCCTGGTCCACCACCATCATGTCGTACGAGTCGTCGTCGTCGTCCTCGGAAGAGATGCCATACGACAAACTTGACAGCGCACCGCCGGCCACACCGACATTAGTACTACCCGTCCCCAACGACAGCAACGTGTGTTTGCGTTTGTGTTGGTCGGGGAGGCCATTAGCCTTCATCTTCGACTGAGTGGGCAACTGCTTTCGCGCAGGATGCAACAACGAGTCAATCTTCTTGTCCTTGGCGGCATTGGGCTGGATGATCCCGACACGGAGGTGCTGCACGTCCCGCGCTTTGCTCATCGTCGGCGTCTGGCTCGACAACTGCATCATGGAGGACGTGGACGTAGGAACGTGGATCACACCAAGGGACGGCGGTGGCAGCAGGATGGGATCGGCCACCGACGTCGGTCGAATGGTAAAGTCGTCTTCGTCCAAGTCCAAGTCCAAGTTTACGCCATCAAACGACGACGCAATCTTCGTCGGGCTGAAGTTGATCAGCTTCACGTTGTTTTTGTACGGCACATGCAGCTTTCGCTTCTTCAGGCAAGACGCCAAAATGTGATTCACCATGCGGGTGGAGGAATCGGCCACGTCGTGTCGCGGCGGCGGGGTCACAGGCATCGGCGGTCTTGCGCTGCCTTCTTCATCTTTCTTCGTTGCTACGCAAGTTGCTGGCCACTGACCAAGGAATCGGTTCGACTTGTCGCAAATGGCGCGATGGTCGATCGAATCCAGCAACCCTTGTTCGTCGACTTCGCCCCACCACACGCCAGTATCATCTTCAACAGCAAAAACATCGTTGTCATGGATTGCCGAGGAATTGACAAACTCATCGGGTTCTGAAGAGTCCAAGAGACTGCCGCTGCCAAATCCTGTCATGTCGAGGTCGTCGTCGCATAGGAGCGATGGGCCAAGGCACGTGGCAAACGCATGTTCGTCGTCTTCACACAGCGACAAGTGGACATGTTGCAACACATCTTCAAAGCCATGATTCAGCTGCGGCGGATTCACCACTACAGCTACCGCCATATCCTCAACAGCGTTGATCGTGGCAAGGTCTCCATCGTCACTGTTCGTCCAGAATGTGTCATCCACGTCGTAGTAGCAAATGTTGTCGTCTGCGTCCTGGAGCGACTTGACGCGCTCAATGATCTCGGTGGCATCGCATGAATCGGACGAGAAATCGTCCATGATGCGGAGGAACTCGGACCGGTACGTTGTCGCGGTCATCTCTTCAAATGAGTTTTGTTTTCGAAATTACCAAGTTCCTATTTTGACCCGGTTGACACCACAGAAACGACCGTTTTCGTGCGTTCTGATTGGTCAATTCAAGGAGGAGCGACAGCCGTCGCTGGCACCATCGCTTCAATAACCCCAGAAATACCGAGACTAAGCCGTATCCCCCCTCCGTTTCTGACTCGATCTGCAAATCCCACCACGTTTTATCGCCGCACGATCAATTCTGCAATGTCTTTTTTTCCATATTTTAAAATACCATACAAAACCATACATCCACGGGAATAAAAACACGAAAGCCAGTTGACAGCTTGCAGTACGAGTGTGTACGTATATCGCGCGACCTTTAAAGGCGGCAAGCAACGACCAGATGGCTAGAGGAACGACACTTGCTTCAACGCCATGCCTTCGTAGGCAGTCTGCCGCCGTTGCCGCGGCGCTCGATTCATGGACGACAATGGCCACATTCCATTCATATTGGCATGCGACTGCAGCACCACTCGACGTTCCATGGTTTGGTTTGGCCTATCTATATACGATACTGTACTTATGTATAGTAGCCATTTAGCAGTTACAGGACGTTCGAAAAACACAGCAGAAAGATCGCCATCTTTTAAAACGGATTTACTCGGCGCGCTGCATGCACCAACATTGCGGGCAACATCGCGCCTGGCGGTCGGAACTGGAGATGGTCGGGCCGTGGCTGGGGGCTCTCGGCGGGACTGGACCGCCGGATGATCGCGAGGATGTCGCTAAGGAGCGGGTCGTCGCCTTGAATCGGATCCTATAGCCACCACATCAATCGATCGAAGTCCAAGTGACGATGCCGACCTCAATGATCGGGTCGGTGTGCGTCTTTCCCGTGTAAAACTTGATGTGCGCGTCGATGCCAACCCCGACGAGGGCATCGACGAACGACTGGCTTGACGTCCATGGCACCGTGCGGTCCGCCGTGCCGTGGAAGAGATGCATCGACGGAAACAACGCCGCTGTCGCTTTGGGCAAACTACACATGTACATGCATGTTTAGTAGGGATTGCGGCGGGGAAAGGAGGGAGTGTACTTCGTCATGCGATCTGTGGGCGAATACTTCAACACGTTGTGGTCCATGATGGCGGCAAACACTTGTCGGTCCAACCCGTGCGCGTGGAACACTTCCATCGACTCGTGGATGTTGTACGGTCCGGAGATGCCGATGAAGTTGCGCAAACGCGATGGCTGCCATGCAGCGAACGATGGGTTCTCCACCGCTTCGATCAGTACGCACGCGCCGATGTGCGCGCCAGCGGACTGCCCAATCCATGTCACGTTGTTGGGATCTACATGGCACCATCGTCATGAGGACTGGGTAGTGAGGAAGCATGTTTGAAGCAGAAGGAGAATGATAGATCGGATTCTTACCCCCGCCAAACGTATGCACGTTGTCGAACACCCACTGCATCGCGACGTTGACATCTTGCATCATGTCGGGGAGGAGACCCTGGGGAAAGTTGCGGTAGTCGGGCATGACGACCAGGATGCCATATGCCGACAAGACGCGACCCATGAGCGCGCCCCACGCTTTGTACCCGATGATCCACGCGCCGCCGCTGAGGAACACGACCACCGGTTGCTTTTTCTAATGCACATTCGATCAACATGCAAAATGCGAGGAAGGAATTGGAGGTACACGAGGGTGGGGCACGAGGTAGATGTCGAGGAGGTTTCGGCCGCGCGGGCCGTACCGAATGTTCTTGAGGACTCGCGGACTGCATAGCCAAAAGTAGAACACGCGGAGGAACGCTGGGAGCAGGAAGAGCACAAACATCAGCAGCCGGAGCAGCATGATGATCCACTTGGACGAGACTCTGAATGCCCAGAGCAATTGCATCGCCAACTTAGTGATCAACCACATTTCTGCCGATACGTCTTTGAGGTCGATGGCACATTGCTGTCGCTTCCGCAACTTGGAAGTGGATAGCTCTTCGTCAGACACGTCACCGCCGTCGACGTCACTCGTCAACGGTGTCGCATTCACTGCAACGTCTCCATTGCGGTGTATGGACAGCCGGAACTTGTCGCGGGACGACTTCTTCCATTCCCGGGGCATCGCCATGCTTGTTGATGGATCTTGGCTTGAAAGGTGACCCCAAAATACACCCGAATTTGAACACTTGCACGTGATTGGTCCGTTTGCTCGATGTCGTTACACCACATTCAAACCGCGACATGGTTTAGTAATACTAGTAGTAGTGCGTCCCAAAACATCGGATTGAAAGTAGGACAATAGTGTGGCAATGGTCCCTTATCCGAAAATAACCGTAAAACCTACCACTCCTAGGACATGACGGTCTCCGTCGTTTCCGCCTGGTCATAGAAAAACACCCAACTGTACTGTAAAGTGAATGGAACGTTTATTGCTTGATGATATTGGAATCGACGAGCTTCAAGCGCGCACATCGGCGCTTCAGTTTGGCCACGGTCCACTGCTCGTTGTTGACCTTAATGTCTCGTGCCATGGCCTACAACATGCCGTGTCATGCATGTCGTCATGCAAGAGTCGGTACGTACGTCATAGTCGTCGCCGTGCTTCTTGATAATCGGACGCAAGTACTGAATTTCGAGTTCCGACATGTGATTCTCGGCCTTTTTGTGGTTCTTGTCGTGGAATGTCAACACGTCGCTGTCCGGAACGTCAAACAGCTCGTCGGGGTCGATCACTTCGTCCGTGCACTCTCGGATGTGTTCGATCGAGTTGGGGTTCTTCCATAGCCCAATCTTTTCGTAGTTTTGCGCCGTCGTGAGCTTGTGGTCCCACACTTCCTACACTCCCACGCATCAGCGTCATCATCACATGTAGCGCAGGACGTACCTTGATCTTGGCATCGCCCACGAACTTGGTCTTGTACTTGCGGATGGGCTTGGACTTGCGCGTGACCTTTACTTTGCCCTTGCCAGGCCGGTTGCGGTTGTGGACCATCTTACGGTGTCTCCAACTTGGGAAATGCCCGCAATATTATGGGATTTCTAATCTCATCAACCAATCGATTCGTGTCCGGACAATATTAACCGGTAAATATATTCTCGACTACGGATAACGTTTCTTTATTTGTAGCACCACCCAATGTGAAACCGCCATTTCGTTTTGTACAAAGTGCGGTGGTCGCGGTGATGGCTACGTAGTGGACCCAAAGCCTACAGCGATATGTTATGGAACATGTTAAATCGGAGCCAAGTTCAAGTGGTAGCAACGAAACTGAGCAGGCCATTCCAGTACTGTACTACTTCAAGTAGATTGAAAGAGATCGCTGTAGCAGCGCGCATGGACAAGTGAGGAAGTTGTCTAGCGCGCGGAACCACAACTAACGTTAATCTAGCAAGTCATATGAAACCGCCAGTGTGCTTAAAATACAGAAGTACATTGCAGCAATCCCACGATGCCGCGTTTCACCGTGGTGGATCTCGTCCATGAAGGTCTTCTTGACTACGTGAACAAGTACGAGTCGTGACCTCCTCTCAAAATGTATAACCCTCCTCCTTGTCGTCCTCACTACCATATGCAGGAGCGGCAAGACTCGGTCGAGATGGTTTGCGCTGGACGGCGCCCAGCAAGCCTTGACCAAATACTCGTCATCCGACCGATCCAAGCAGATGGGACCACCCATTCACATCCTTGGCGCGCGCATCGAGCGAGGTGCCGACCTCGCGTTCACAGTGCATCTCCACGCACCCTATCGGTCGCTCAAACAGCTGAAGTTCACCGCCGCGTCGCCCGACGACAAGGAAGGTTGGATGAAGAGCTTGATCACGTGCATCAACGGCATGGCCTCGGGTACGACGACACTTTCCATCTCATAATGCACCAGAGTCGATAAGGGGATGGTTCCATTAGACTTATAAACACTTAGGACTGTCTCAACGCATGTGTCATCGGGGGGTGTTGAATGGTCAGTACATTTTCGTGCGAGAGCTCGGTCGGGGGGCGTCGGGCGTAGTGTACCTGTACACGTATCATGGTACGAACCTAACACTACCATCAACCTCTGCATATGTCCATATCTCAAGACGACAATGAAAAATCATATCGCTTGAACATCAATATACACTCTGAATCGACCCATCAATCGTACTAGGCAAACCGTGCGCCGTCAAGAAACTGCCGACGAAAGCCACCAAGTTCAACCAACATAACCACGTCACAGACGACGTGAAACGAGAGATCGCACTGCTGAAAAAAGTGACTAACTTACCCCATGTGGTGTCTCTGTACGACGTGATCCAAGCCCCCCAACACCATGATAATGCAAGCAACGACGACGACGACGACGGCAAGGTGTACCTGGTCATGGAGTTCCTCGGTGGGGGGCCTATTGCCGCGTACGACAAGGTTCACAAGCGGTACGAATAATCCAACCTTGTTATACGAACCTAGGCGGCTCAAATCATTGGGGGGATTGGTGTGTAGGTTCACCACCAAACAACACATGGTAGAACGCGACTTCAAACGATTGTTTCGATGTGCTACGATTGGCCTCAAGTACCTGCACTCGCATCAACTGGTGCATCGCGACATCAAACCCGACAACATCCTCATGACAGACGACTTTGCAGAGTGCAAACTCGCAGACTTGGGCGTCGCGCACTGGTTTGAAGCGGCCCCCACGTCCGTCGGGTCTCGGAAGAGAGACAGCAGCATCGACATGTCTGACAACGAATCCACGTCACCCCCTTCTCCCGGTAGTAATCTACTCCCGAACGATACCCTTCGAGACACCAAAGGTAAGTTTTATACTAGTAATAATATTTTTGACGATTATTTCGATGAGTATGTAGGAACGTACGAGTTTTTGTCCCCTGAAGCCATCTCGGGAGAAGAGTACTCTGGGTTTGCAGCAGATGTGTGGGCCCTAGGTGTGACGTTATACGCCGTCGTGGTGGGCAAATTGCCCTTTCAAGCTGACAACGTACTAGCTTTATTCGACCATATCACAGACTCCCCGCTCCAGTTTCCCGTACGTTGAGGTGACATTTTCCTTTGTTGCTTGTTGGGGGATGTTACTGGAGCTTCTACAAAGAAATTTACCTTTGGTGGAGAGATAAGCTGCTGAATATTCTTGTGTTGTCGTCAACACTCAAAGCGATTGAATGTAATATTTACCTGCTTTTAGATTTATTGATTTTATAATAATATTATTTTTATTGAAAATATTAAAATATTTATATATCTATTAGTCCAAATTTCTGGTACAGACACGAACTTTTAACAATATTGTATTTGTAGCCCAATGTAGTGCTATCCAACGACCTCCGGCATTTGATCTCGCAAATGCTGGTGAAAGACCCCCAGCACCGCATCTCCCTCGACAACGTGTTGATGCATCCGTGGCTGTGTACTGGGGCCACGTCTTCGTTTCTAAAACAACACAAGGCCGCGACTACCAAGGTATTAATTATCCTGCGTTCGTCACGACTAGAATTCATAGTAACGCGATCTAGTTCGTATTGTAGCTAGAACTCTGACTCAATGTGGGTTTGCGTTAGATTGTCGTGAACGAAGCTGACGTCCACGCTGCAGTGTCCCCACTACAGCTCAAGTTTGACATGATGCGTCGAGCTAGCCCCGTGGACCAACTGTCCATGTTAACCGTCGACGCCCTCCCTCCAACGATCCCGTCATGTTCGGATGCCGCCAACAATCCCCCCCCGTCGATTCCCCCAAGCATCCCCCAAACACATCGCCCCCATCCCATCGACATTCAATCGGTTGGGCTGCCTCCGTCCCTGGCCGGCGATCTGTCAACTTTGGCGCAACAATTGCACTTCCAATGGTGTTTTGACAAACTTTTGGTCGGGTGGAGCTATGGGGCGATCCGAAACGACGAGCTGAAGCACCACCCCCTGATGAAACCGTTTTGGGAGCTCGACGCTGCCGCCCAAGCGCGGAATCGTGTGTCCGTCGAAGCCTCGCTCAAGTGCATTTTAGCCCTGGGGTAATTAATGTAGAATCCCGACACTGCTTGAGGCAGCGATGCTGGGTTACGAGATATTTCGTATGGATTTTGAGAGTTCTGATGGAGTTGAAATGGTGTAGATACACGGTGGTGCGAAAACCAACCGAACAGCAGCACGTTCCATCGTCGTTGGCGCGTATTGCCTTGTCGGGGGAACTGGTCGTGCTCGGCGACTTGTTGGCCGAGAACGACCACGAAGTGTGGGCGACAGAGTACTTTCAAAACGGATGGACGGTAGGCCACGAATACTGCTAGTGTTGAGGATTGTGACTCAATAGCAAATGTGACTTACTGGCTTAGTATGGACCAGTGTACGACAATGCCACGAAACACCACCCGGCATTGGTATCATACACGGACTTAGCCGAATCCGTGCGCGACTCGACGCGACTTGGGGCGCTGAACATCCTCAAAACGCTTGTGAGTTTGCATTATGTGGTTCAACACCCATACACCAAGTTCCAGCCCACGTCGTTCGTTCCACCTCGACGGTTTACCATCTTGGGTCGAAAGTCGTCCAAGTGATTCAAGTAACAACTACGAACGTTACTGTAGTAGTAGTTCATAGCATAATGCACTATCAAAAGTGTCTCAATTCACTATCAACAAGACTATAACGTTAGTCCGAGTTTGCCCAAATATCAATTCGACGACGGCGTTCACAATCAGTTTGCATAAACGGTGGTGGCAAACTCATAGCCAATACAGTCATGTCGGTAGACACTAGTACGTGTCTATTAATACTTGTATCAACTCCCATTGTCGTTTCAGCCTCGACACGACGACAGAAAAAAGTCAACCGAGTTGACATTTTATAGTTCTAGTCAAGCGAGTACTATGGCTCGACGCGATACGTGGCCGATGGTGCAATTGTGTCTGGTGTTTCTACACGGTACCGTACGTTACGACTTGACCCTTCCTATGGCCTCAACACTTTGATTAGAGCATGCCACGAGTACCGTGCGGTCCACCAACGGAAGGCTGGCTGCGGATTTGGTGGCGGCACTAAAGCAAGGCAAGGTTTTAGTCAGTCAAGACAAGGCTCTTGATCCGGCTGTCGTGTGGACTGCCGTGGACTTGCTCTTACTGGATCCGTGCTGCAATTTGTACCTGTTTCCACCCCATCTCTACGCCAACCTCGTCCGACTGGGTAGCTTTTTTCTTGACGCGGAATTGAGTTGACGGTGTTGTAGTGCCGTCGGAGGATCCCACCGTGCCAGACGTGGACCAGCTGAAAGAGCTGCTCCATTCCCCACCCGAACACTCCAAGCACCGGTTTTTCTTCGTCGTGCGCGTCCTCCACACCATTTGGACACGGACGCAGTCGGCTTGGACCGACTGCGTCGATCGATTCACCCCGCTTTTGTTTCGAGATGGAGTCAGCGCCGTGCGCTCCATCAACCACATGGCGGGCATGGCCGCGGCCAAGAAATGCCTCTCCGTTGTGCTGCAGCATCTGGACTTTATGAGTCGAGACGATACCAAGATGATGGTAGACGATTTGATTCAGTACACTGTGCACGCAGTGCTGTTTGAATATCCCCCCCTCAAGCCCCCCCCACCACTAACAACTCGACCAGAAACCATCGAGCCTACTTTGGTCGTCCAAGAGGGGCTACCAGAAACAACCCCCCTCGTGACGGAACTTCCTCACGACTTCCTTATCCAAAAGCCACAAGAATCACAAGGCCAAAGTGTATTGAAACTGCAGGCGATGGTGCGGGGATGGCTATCTCGTCGGTGGTCGGGCCTTGCATTGTTGTACAGGGGAAACTTGTCGTCGTCAGTTGTACCTAGTTGCTCAATCCCAACTAACAAGTCGCCGTACTGCCGACGGCAATACTTGGCCCTGACCAAACGCGTGTTGTACTGGTCTGTGGACAAACTTGAGCTTGAAAAAGCTCGCGTCAAGGGCCAACTGAAGGCATTTAACGACACTTTTGAGCTCAATCGCGGGAGTCGGCCGCTGGTCACAGACAAAGCGGCGGTGCGACCGCTGTACGAACTGTACCATTTCCTGGGGCTGATTATGGATTACCAGCGCACAGAGCCGTCAGTAGACCCGTCGGACGAGTAAGCTAACCAACTACTCGCGACGACTAGTGTCTCATAAGAAGACTAACTAGTAGTCATATTGGGGTAATGTGGATGTAGTGAAGCGATGCGGGTAGAGCTGTGGTCACGAGAGCGAAAGCAAGCCAAAAAGGAGCGGCTGCAAATGCGCCTCTTGTTGTTTGAACGGCATTTTGAGTTGTGTTGTGGCGAACATGTATGTTCCATGATGAATATATCATATATACATACATATATATATATTTCGTCGTGAACTCTATCATTGAACTGAAAGAATATTATTTAGGTCCAGAACGAAGACGACTATGGCCATGTGCTATCGACGTACACCGCGTACAAGGTGCGAACGGATCTATCATGTTCACATTGCACTAAGCGCAAAGTAGAAACTGACGGCTCTCGTTGCTCCTCCAAACCAACAACAACCTCACGAGTAAAATAATATATTACTACTAACGCGACGGATGATGTGAAGTATTTACCACGTTCAATCCCTTTCCTCGTACTAAATGCAATCCTTCAGGCAACTCTTCGGTAATATGGCTGTGCTGCTGTAACTTTAAACGTTAACTGATGACATTTAGAGTAAGGAGTGTCTTTGCTATGCACGAGAGCAACATAAAATACTTTGGACGGCGGAGGTCGTAGAAGGTGCAGGAATTATAAACAAGAAGGGTTACACCTAGTGCAGGAGATTCAGATTGACTCACGTTGGGTCTTATTGTGTGGTAGTTGGTTGCTGTCGATTGAATTTGGCTGGCGATTGTTCGAGCAAGTTCTTAATCAGTGCCGCCCACTGCTCATACCGAGCAGCTACCACTCCCGCGTGTAGTTTTCTAATTGAATAACACATAAATCCTCATAATAAAGAGAAACCCACCCCCATAGCAAATAAATACAAAGTTAGTACCTCATTTGGGCCTGCGACAACAACGCCAGCAATCGCGTTTGAATGATTGGGATGTTTTTGTCCGTGATCCCTAGCTCTTGGCCGTGCAGGGTCGGCAACGTGGCTTCGACTTGGGTCAACAGCCACACCACTTTGTCAAATCGGTGCTGCACCAGCATCTACTCTGTGAAATGAATAACACTCTAAATAGGATAAAAACACACAAGCGATTGTCCGTACGTACCTGGAACGCATACTTGCCCACTTGCTCGTCAATGAACCTGTCATACTGTTGGTTGTCCTTGGTGTGAGACCGATAATGATCGGGCTCCCACGCCCTCGCCACTCGGACCACTTGCAACGCCAGCGGCAATTGGTCCTTTTCACAGCAATCCACCAACAACTCAAACGCCAGCGCACTGCGAGATTGAAATTGCGCGTAGCTATTTGTTCGTGGTCGAATCATATGTTTGGACGATTCAGTTGCGACGGGGGATTCGTCCAGACACAACAAAAAGTTGGCCGCCTATCGCACAGCATAAAATATTGAATTGATTTCTCATGGCTATATATATAAATTGAGTTGATTTATCATGGCATTTATGTATAAGACAAACATGGGAATAAAAATCTAATGACTTATATCTCCCGAAGACAATATATATATATTTGTCAGAGATGGGTATTCCATTGAAACAACAAGGGGGCATGCAATGCACCGTTCGAACTTCGTTGCGCTGGCGACAAAGCTGCAGCAACTGCGTGGGGTCTCCCGCCAGTGGAAACAGCAGCGGCAGCCGGTTCGGCTCGACCTTGCGAGCCACGTTGGCCACGATTTCGCAGTACGTTTCCATGTCCTGGTCTGTTTTCTGGAGCAGCGTCAGCGCCATCTCTAGCACCGCCACGCTCCATTTCGACTCGAAGCACTTGTCCAATATCGCCACAAGAACCTAATTCCACACACACATATAATACATCGACACCGTCCATTCAACATGACAAGTTCTTCGTCAGTAAATCGCAAAAAGACATTTTCATCGTTAAAACACGTAAATGTGTTGGACAGTTGGATTTGAGAGACACATGAGCCATTCTCGTCACTAATCCTTTTAAAAACCATCAGCTAAAAGTTGCAAGAAACCACACTCACACTACAACCCCAGCGATCACAACCAACAAACATATGTATAATGTTGTCGAAACAAGATCATAAACCAAAAATGTTGAGATGAGAGACATAGATTTGACAGTACACTTGTCGTTCGTACCAGCTCTAGCGTCAGCGTTGTCAGCGCACATTGTCGAGGCATGGCTTTCAAAATCGCCGCTGCCAGGTCTGTCTGGTGGTGGAGCAGCAAATTGCAAACTGTCGTGTGTACAAACGGCTGCACGCGGCAGGATAAGTCCAACACACCCGTGTAATTCTCTTGGAATGCACCCACGAGGACACCAAAGTCGGGCAAAATCCCAAGAATTTGCACTTCAGGGTTGAATCGAAGCAGGGGATCGACCAGCATGGACGACAAAGTACTCGACGGAGTAACGGCACTCTCGCTCCCGTGTTGGACGTGGACGCCATACTCGGCCAACAACCCCACATAGGCATCCCATGTCTACACAAACAACTATCTCGTTCATCATTGTTGCCATTTATAGCATGAAGAATCAATCCAACCCACATCTGATAAACAATACGCTCTCCAACAAATATTGTCGATTTGGTACAAATTTGGGGAGGGGGTGCAATCGAATCGCGCCAACCAAACCGATCCGCAATCGATCTGATTGGTTCAATTTCATTGAGAAGGTTTTGATTGGTTAATACTTTTGAGCTCATATGAAGTAGCCAATCAAATCGATTTAAATTCCAACGAGAAACCACGCCACAACACAAAATTTCACTCGAAAGCACAATAAACATATTCGTTTTCTTTTCGCATTGTCAAATCGATATTATTATATTCGACAATGGGGCCCCGAGTAGAATCGAATGTCTGGAGAGAATGGATTCAAGAACCGCCAAAGCCAATAAAATCACGTCCTGTCGAGTTTCTGTCAATCCAATCATTTGATTGGGCCCAGCCCCTCGCATTGGGCGAAACCACATGTATTTTACATACTCATACATTTGTAAAGAATAGCCTGTACAAGCTTAAATGAGATCAAATGGTGAATTCGAATGCTATTTGGCGACATGAGTCCCATTTTGTGTAAAATCCACAATAATTGTAGGAAATAAAGAATGGCATACCAAAGCGTTGGCATGCGACGTGGCAATGTACTTTGCGCGAAGCGGGTCGTTGGCTTGGAGAAATTGCAGCACAATGTCGTGGTCCACTGGAGGAGCAAACGCAATTCCGTCCAGGAACGGCCACCACACGCGGTACCCGTGTCGACCGTACAGCCCCACGACATGGGAGCACACAAGCGGCCATTCTGGAGGCGACACGTGGGATATTTGGGTGATGTCGTTGGCGACCAGCGTTTGGATTTTGGTTTCAGGGTCCCACAAGTACGCGTCATTCACTTGGTCAAGGACGAGAAAGCGCGGTAGAGTCCATTCTAAATATATATATACACAACGGTCATTTATTTGTAAATTTCAGAAAGATGTATGGTCTTATATAATCATACGATTGGTCGAGTCGGAAAAGAGCGACGACCAGACCGCCCCTCCAAACCACGACGAGGATTCAACCGAGTGCCCCGATCGCCGGGTCAGCCGCGGGATCGCACGAAGACATCGCGCGTGTCCTTGTATGGCATTGCACAGAGGCAGCGGCTCTGTCCGGCACAACTGCAGCGACAACTGAAAAGCGTCGGTAGAGCTCTCGACGGTGCCGCTGCTGGTGATGCGGTACACCCACAACTACAGCAACAAATGCTTAATATATATATATAGGCAACTATAACTCGATTCGAAATTTGAGAGCAGCATCGAAGGTCGTAAGAGAATGAGTTCGTATGAGCCGCCAAAGCCAATCCCATCACGTTGTTCTGGTGAATTTTTGCCAATCGAATGAAAGTACAGATTCAGTTTTGTCATTCCAGGTGAACCTGATAGATACTAAATATTATAGTTTTCATTGTACATGATGAAGTAGGGTCAAATGCTATTGGCGAATCGACGTCAAACGTATGACAAATGTGGAGAAAACGCACAATATCAACTTATGTTACCAGGTTGGACAGAATATTAGTAGTCACATCCATTATCATACCTTGGACGTGGACAAGCAGTACACGGCATTGTCGTCGACGGTGACGGCATACACGTTGTCCGAGATGGCAATGTGCGCTTTTCGAGAGTCCAAATCCAGTCGGTTGCGGGGAAAGACGTCGAGAAAGAGCTGCGACGCCGTTGTTGTTCGAACCAGCGCGACGATCGCGTCATCTCTCCACCACGCCATCGCCACAACCGCAAACGATTGCTCTTCCAATTCACTTCCAAACAGGAGCCATTTGCTTGTGCGCTGTCGTCGCATGTCAAACCACACTGAGTGTTTGGGTGGTCTACATGGGAGATACCTTGTTGAAGAGGACGAACCCTCGGGTACCCGCTACGATGAGCCGCGAGTCGGCAGCGTTCACGGCCACATGCTGCAATGGACGATTGGCCTGGGCATACGCTGATGGAACAGGGACAGTCGCGGAGCTCAGCACGCCACACGGATCGTTGCAGCTTTGAGTGGCGACCATCACGACCGCGTCCGACTCTACCAAATGCAACGCACTCCGGTCGAGGGGAAGCACAGATCTGGCAAAGTCCAGCAGCAGCACCACCGCCGTCGACGTCACCACCTCGTTCGACTCTACAGACGACGCATCTGGTTGAACGAGGTTCTCCAACGCTTGCTGGGGATGTATGGTCGGAAACAGACTCAAGTACAGCTTGATATACCTACACCAGCACACCACCATATCAACAAGACACGGACATATCAACCTATAGATATGGAGATATACCGGTGCATGGCCACGTCTTTTGAGCATTCGCGCAACGCTGTCCACCCATTGAACTTGGCGTGGGCGTCAGAGTCCACGAGCGACGACGGAGCCGACGCCACCGGACAGTCTCCATACAGCGCTTGCATGCGTAAACTGTACTCGTAAATTGAGTGGTCAGCAGTCCATACAAGCAACTTGTCCGATTCACGAAACGATTCGATCGCGGCCACGGCCAGTGGAAACACTTGCTTGGACGAGACTTTGAGGAAGGCTAGAGCCACCGTCGATCCAGCCGGAATCGCTTGGAGCTACCGAATCGACGCAAAAGGTAGTAAATCGACTAAAAACAGTGGGCAATTCGATAGCGTACTTGGTGCACGATCGCGTCAAATGGAGATTGCCACACGGACACTCCATCAATCGACAACAACAGCTCGCCGCCGTGCAGTTTCGTGCAGAGTTGGGCAGGACCAGGACCGCCAGTGGACTGGCGAGGGACAAACGGCGCTTCAGGCCGCACCCACGCGCCCGTTTGGTTGGGTTCCCCCGCCAACGACAAGCACAACCCGTCCGCGTCTACTCACACACATGTATCACCGTCATTAAAGTTTAACATACCATATAGGTATAGAACATTTCAATGTACTAGGATATTCAAGACATACATATTGACAACCATCCTTAGCCAAGCACTGCCAATCATGGCAATGAACATACAAGCAAGTCCTCCCCATATCGAATGAACAGCAAGACGCACAACTGACAGCCACATCTCTATATATGCGTTTGGTTGTATACCTTTGACTAGCTGGACATCCACCATATGACACAACGGGGGATCGCGACTCGATGCTACTTCGACTGGCTTGGCGGGGGCACAGAATCGGTTGGGAATAATCACCAACGAGGTCGTGGCATACGTCCAGCTCACTCGCTCGACACCGTACGCAGCGATTTCATTGTGGGAAACGTCGCCCAGTTGTTGCGGCAGCGACGACATGAGTTTGCATCCGTCCGTAGAAAACACACTGAAGCCACGATGGGCATATCTACACACCAACAACGTATACACTTATATAAATATATACTTATATATATTTATATATGGTATGTCGACAATGGATCTTGATAAGCGTAGACAAGGCGATAAGGCAAACACATAAACTCTCTCATGAACACCACCTCGTATGGCTAGTATTATATACATACGAGAGCAGCATCCAGTCTTGTTCATGCAGAAATCTCTACAACTCCATCGTAATTTGATAAATATCACTAACATACCCAATCGCAACCGCACGCCCGTCTTCAGTGAACGCCAGACTCGACACATGCCCCAACTCGTCGCTAGAATACCCCCACGACCCCAGCGACAGCAGCTGGACATGCATGTTTCCTTCGCTTTGTAAGAGACCTGGTAGGTCCACCATGGACGAGGCTGAGCGGCGCGGCGCTGCTTTCTTGGGATGATGGAGCCGAAACACCCGCACAGTGCTGTCAGTTGCCCCCACTGCCAGAAGACCGGCACCTGCATCCATCGCGACGGCGGAAAATAAGGCGGACGCAGGCGGCGGCGGCACCCTCTCCACGCTTTGAAAGTGCAACGCCCCCGACGATTCCGCTGGAGACGCCAATGTCACTAAGACACACTTCCCGTTCGACAACGTCACAGCTACGAAAACATAATATTAGACATCTGCATAGATCGCGAAGATCGAACAATATGTTGACAAGTTGAGATACAAACGATGGAAAACACCATGCAAAACTTGACCGCGTTTAAAGAGCATCGATGCGCATCCAGATGGAACGTACCAACTACGACGTGGCTAGACAATTGAAACGACAAGTTGCATGCAATGGAAGTGCATTGAATCGACGCGGCATCCTACGTATGTCACAAGCATGCACAAGGTGGGGACACATCATCGCCATGGAAGCATAGGAATGGCAAAGAGGACGAGAAGTCGAATGTACCGATGTCGTGGTGTAAGGAGAATTGGAGCTGTTTTCTACAAGGAGTGGAGAAACAACAACGCCGCCGTGGCCCATGAACGCCCAGCGAAAGACCATGATTCGTGCCGTGGACGTCCCGACAAAGATGTGATCTTCGTTCACGGCAAGACATCGCCCTACTTCAGTGTCGCCGTCCTTTCCTGCTACAACCAACGCACAATGTCAGAACTACGTTGCCTCCTTGAAGAAAGTGCATCGACGTACAACCACTTACCGAACGCAATGGATTCGTGCGCGTGAAGCCGCACCCCATCCGTCAAATCCAACGCGTAGCTGTACATTTCCAACGTGGTAGAGGTAAGGACCACAATGCGAGAGGTGTCTGCATGTGGAAGGAACGCGCACGCGAGCGGGGTCGACCCTGTCTGTCGCGACAGTCGATGTGGACGATACGGCGGTGCGTCTTTGTGGTGCATGCACCGCAGCTGGATGTACGTCGACGTCACATCGACTTTCCAGTGTCCGAGGGCGCTGAAACCCACAACATCCTCATCATTTTCACGCTTGACTACCCTCGGCAGGCCGCGCGCTACCCACATGCAGAATCGAGATCACAATGGAGATACTCTCCTTCCAAAGATTATGCACACAAATTATAGTTTTATACGATTTTTCTCCAAATTGAAAGCGCGAAAGTTGGATGCTCTCTCTATACATTGTGCTTTCGAGCAAAATTTTGGATTTTGGCGTGAATTCCTAAAATCGATTCGATTGGCGCTTTCAAAATTGCCACCATTTGATTGGGTCAAACGACAGAAAGGACATTAAGGTCATTCGCCGCGACATGGAACGCCAATTGCACCTGTTGGAAACTGTTCTGGCCAACGTGACAACCATGGCTTCATCCAATATGTAATAGCGGAAGATTCGATGGCCACGCGATTGAAGACGAACAACTCGGCTAAAGTCATTACACGACATGACGAAGAATCATTTTGGACATCGACAGTTCAGAAACCTCGGGGTTTTGTTGCACGGTTGTACTAGGACATGTACTAGTAGCTCGGAGCTACCTAATACTACCCGTACTGGAAGCTTACTACAGCCACAAATGGTCGTATCGTAAGTGTCACCGCAAATTCACAGTCAGAACTTGAATCCGTTTTGGCGACTAAGAGCATCTCCACCCGTGGGATTTATCGACTGTACTGGAAAGCGCATGAAGTGTTTGGTATCACGTACTACTCGTACTCCGGAGTAAAGCATCTCGAAGCTACAGTATTACTCCGGAGTACTTCTGTATTTTAACCAGTCCTATTTTAATATTGGTGGTGTCACCAACTTGAGCAAACGGCGGTCGTTGCCCAACGTCGTCAGGAATTACCACCGCCAACACATCGTCCTTGGTGCCCACGTTTTCTTGAAGCTGGAGGACACGAGAAAGAGGGCTCTTGTTGGCGGTGTATGCCGCCGCGTTGGTGTAGGTGCGTAAGAGCCACAAGCAAGGGATTTTTTCCAGGTCGGGGTCCGCGTAATTCGCTAGCACAGCATCTTCGAAATCGGCAATCTAACAATCCGATGCGCTCATCACTTTTTCTTGAGCGACTGCATTGTACTTTGCTTTGTACGGATTGCCACGTTCATCTGTCAGTTGATACCACACGGATCGCAGGTGGGCCATTGCGCTCAATTCACCAAGTCCAGAAATGCCTGCCCTTTCGCTTCTCTGTCAACTTGATATTTTATGACTTTAACGAGTATCTCCAACGGTAAAATCTACAACTACGTATTGCCACGTTCATCTGTCAGTTGATACTACGTAGTACCACACGGATCACAGGTGGGCCATTGCTGCTCAATTCAGTAAGTCCAGAAAATACTGCCCTTTCGCTTCTATGTCAACTTGATATTTTATGACTTTGCTAACAGTAACGAGTATCTCGAACGGTAAAATCTACAACTACTAGTACGTATTATTAATATTACTGCTTTTTAATACTAGTACGTATTAATACTACTTTTATTGTGCTTTTCATCGTTTTTGGCTAATCCATGGCTAAAATCCTCTGTAACGTCTTGGTCTGTGATTGGCCACCTAACTGTCATTCCCGCACCTAAACATTAATTTACGCACCTCCTGCTACGGTTTTTGAGTAGTAACTCAGTCCATTTGGAATTCACGCTGTTCCACCTTATTTGGAGGTAAGTTAAACCTACGATAATTAATTACTGAATAAACGAATAGTAATTGTATAAATAGATATTTGTATCGTTTGCTCAGCCCCTTTGAAATACTTTAATCAAGTCTAAATTTCAGAAAACCAATGATTTACTGTTTGGAGTGGATATCTTTACAATTTTATTACATCAATTCCAAACATTCAAATTGAATTATGTTTGACTGTGAATCCGACTATAGAGCTTGGACAAAGGATTATAAAAATGCGGCTACCAAGTTCAAGTTGTAAAAACTGCATGAGATATGCTCCACACAACACAATCAATGATTATTTACGATAACGCAACACCAGCGCAAGAATAGTTGCGTGGCCACCTGTGGTATTCACAGTTGACATACATCATAACTGCCAAGCATGTTGTCTGTTGTGGTGGGCGACTTAATCCAAGTCCCGTCATGACACAGGTGGTCCTCAACCGAGGCCACCAGGTGCCGACCCTTGGCGAACCGACACGAACAGGCATAGTATTACTAGTAGTACTAGGACGTAGAACACAGAACACCTGTCCCAGCCAACTACCGGAATCTCACTCTTGGTTCTGCAACGCCGTGGTAACATCTGGTTAATCAAGTGTACGGTTTGCAGGGAGTCGGCACTCTCCCATTTGGTTGTTTGTGTTGGCACTGGCGTGGGAAACAACACAAAGTATACTTTAGTTCCAGTGACCTACGGAACTCAGAGCAATGGCAAAGAACTCAAAAGATCGCGCCCAGAAGCCGAAGGCTGCGGCAACGGCGCCAACAACTGCGAGCAGCGAAACTGAGGAGGAAGTACCAGTGACGGAGCCACCGTTAGTCCCGGTAGTTGGAGGTACCATGGATGTGCTGCCGGCTGTGGAAGAGTCTAAGAGCGAGGAAGTTCGGAAGACGATGGAAGACCTGGCCAAGACGAACAAGGCACCGGGTAGTGCGCGAGCGGCGTCCATGACCTGGGATGAATCGCGGCGGTGATATGGTGGTCAAACCATGGGTCCGAACAGGGAACAACTACCACGACCCTCAATCGAAGGTGCCTATGTCGATGAAGACTACCCGCCGCCAGAGAAGTCCGATGCCGAGAAACGAGCGGACGAAAAGGCGGAAGCTCGAGCTAAGCTACGTGCGGAAAGGCGAAATCGACCGAATAGTACTCCTGACAGCGAGGAAGAAGAAAATGAATACTAAGAAGAACAACGTAAGCAAGCTGAGCGGCGGCGGATCAACAAAGCCAATCGTCCCCCAAAGGAATAGCGTGTCGACCATGATCGACGGATGCTGGACACCACCCTGACAAATAGTTCGTGATGGGGACCTCTTTCGAGTGAACCACCGACCCCAAGCAGCGGAGGATGGGGGCCCAACTTCAACTCCAGTGGACCTTCATTGGTGGTGACAGATGTCTAACCCCCTCGGATCACCCGTATGGACAGAACCTTCCTAGTGAGTTGGGTGAAGAAGCGGGAGACATATGAGGACAAGCTACGGGCGAATGCGCAATGCATGGGTGGCGAGTGGCGACGGAGTGCTGTGGGGTGGATTCCTTCCACTGACCGCAGCCTCCTGAAGGCTACATGCACCTATGTTTGGCTAGTGCCTGTGAAACAACTCCGTGAGGACGACTACCGCGACCGCATCATGGAAATCGTCGGACAACCAGCGACCAAGTGGACACCCACCAAGTCAGACATGCAAAACTACTGTCAGACGCTGAGTGTCGACCCCCATGGAGACGTGACCAGTCGCCTGGTGTCATTTATGGAGTGGGTTGATGATGTCATCGACGAAACCGGCTTACGTCAACAACTCAAAGACTCAACCATGCTGAGAACGTTTGTGAAGGTGGTAGCAGCGCGTGTCACACCCAGCTACCTACGTGACAGAGTGGGAGAGCAAATGAAGACCGTGCCGGCGAACGATCTGGTGGCCTTTGCGGATATCCTACGCGAACAGCTTGACCGAACTCATGATGCAGACATGGTCAATCAACAAAGAAACAGCTACGGCTCGAAGCGTGGCCGTGAAGAAGACGACCAAGGGCGCCGCATTACGAAACATGCGAAGAAGGCCAACCAAGCTGTTCGAGATCAGCGGGAATTACGAGGAAATTACCCACGTCCACCAGGTGGATACATCAAGCCGGAACGAAGTGCGGCGGTGTGGTCCCCGTCGACGCAAAAGCGAACGGGGGACCCACCAGCCACAAAGTACGGACCGCAAGCGAACTCGCGCCCAAGACACGACGACCGCCATGTCCAAGCTGTGCGTGATGAAGCACGTCCTCGATTTGCACCCGGCCGGGATGACCGTGGCCTGCTGTGTTTTGTCTGTCAGCAGCGAGGACACATGGCCCGAGAGTGTCCCAATAAAAATGACGGGGATAGCGGCGATACAAGCTGGAAGAAGGACAAGAACGCCGTCAAGCGGTTCAAAGCGCGGGAACGCAAAGCGAATATGCAAGCCAAGCGAATGAAGAAACCCCCACCGCCCAGCATGGAGGATGATGGACGTTGGGTGCGACTGAACAGTGTGCTGGAAGTTCCATACTGCCCAGACACCGGCGCAGACCAAAACATTATGCCACAAGCCATGGTGGATGAACTTCAAGCGTTACAGCCACAACTTCAAGTTGTCAAGTTGGCTGCGCCATTTGTGGGAACAGCATGCAAAGAGATGCCATTCGAAGCGAGCTCCTACGTGGACCTTACGCTAACAATGCAGACGGCCGCTGGACCAGTCAAGGTGCCAGGCAAGCGCCGCTGCTATGTGGTCAACGACGGAGATGAATTCCTCGTCTCGGATGACAACCTCAAGACCATTGGTATCGACAATGACCGCCTGCTGGAACAGGTGGCGCGCCTGCAAGTGGATGAGGACGGCGATGACCTGGAAGAAGTTGGTGGTGATTGCGTGGAATTGCCCCAACGATCGGCCGTCAGAGCCGCGACCATGAAGGCGGTGCTACCTGTAGCCAAGAATGAAGTCGAGGAAGCCCTGCAAGGCATGATCGACGGCGCAGTCGATAACGGATTTCCAATGGAACATGTTAAGTACTTGTGGGATGTGCTCAGCAAGCATGACATCTGGCGAATCAAGTTCGACGGGTCAGGCCCACCGGCGAAGGTGAAACCGTTGAAGGTGACCCCGAAGGATGGGTGTGTTCCTTACCGATGCAAACGAAGGAAGTACAACCTCCTGGAGGAGAGGTTCCTCAAGTTGTTTGCACAAGAACTACTCGATGTAGGCGTGATCAAGAGCAACCAGCAAAGTGCATGGTGCAGCCCGGTGAATCCAGTTCTCAAACCAGATGGGCGCAAGTCATTGAAATCGGCCGACAAATGGAGCGACGATGACGTGCTCAAGAACTATCGGCTAACCAACGACTACCGTGTTGTCAACTCGCTAACCGAGCCGAAGGCAGGG